AAACTTATATGCTATAGTCAAATTAGGCTGTAGTGGGGTAGTTCTTATAGAGTACAACACTTTTAGGTTTTCTACTTGTACCCACCTGCTTTCTAGTTCATTCATTCGTTCCATATTATAACACACTCACCCCCGACGGACGGAGGACTGGCAGACGCAGACTCAGCAACAAGAGCAGTGGCGTAGTCTAGACGACAGGCAGCAGCAAAGTCAAGCAGCTCAGCAACGAGAGCAGACGCAGCAGCAGACTCAAACAAAGGGTCAGTGACAGCAGTGGCGAGGAGACGAGAGACAGTGGGACTGGCAGCACGAGCGCGGTCAGACTCAGGGTCAGGGACCTCAGGAAGAGAGGACTCAGGAGGATCAGGCAGAGGAACACGTAGGGGAACAGAGGAAGGACGAAGGGTCATAGCGTGCGTGCCGGGGACAGGAGGAGGACGCGTACAAGGAACACGACGAGCAGTGCAAACAGGCGAGACAGGACGAGACGCAGGCTCACGACGCTCTGTAACACCGCCGGACAGCTCTGTGTAAGGAGAAGGAGCAGGCAGTGGATAGGCCGGCTGTAACTGCGGCTAAGACTGGTCAGGCGGTGGACATAGGAGGGGAGGAGTAAGGCCAGTAGAGGACGGTGGACCAAGAACCTGCTGAAGCAGGGGAACGAAGTACAGTCGCGGCCGCACAGCGCCACCAGGGTCAACAGCGCCAGCTCCTCCAGCTCCAGCACCTCCAACACCACGGCTTCCAACTCTAGCGCCTCCTGCACAAGTGCCTCCAACTCCAGCTCCTCCAGCTCCAGCGCCACCAGCGCCAGAGCCACCAGCACCAGTAGCACCAGACTCCGTAGGGTCTCCAGCTCCAGCACCCTCAACACCACCAGTCCCGGCAGCTCCAGTACCCCGGGTACGAGCACATCCAGGACCAGTGACCGCAGTACCTCCAGGAACACCAGCTCCAGCAGTAACTCCAGCACCTCCAGCTGCAGTAGCTCCAGCACGAAGGCGTGCGCGCCGAACAAACCACTCCCGCAGCTGCTGCGCAGACAGTCCCGGCGAAGCACCAGAAGAACCTCGAGACAAAGTAGCACCCTGAGGCTCAGCACCTCCCGACTCCGCACCCTCCAACACAGCACCCTCAGGCTCAACACCCTCAGGCTCAGCACCCCCAGGCTCACCACCCCCAGGCTCAGCACCCCCAGTCTCAGCACCCTCAGACTCCGCACCCCCAGCCCCGCACCCTCAGACGCAGCACCCCAAGGCCCTCCACCCCCAGACGCAGCACCTCGAGCAGCACCTGAGCCGACAGCTACCTGAACAGGCGCAGGACCAGGAAGAGGGTCTACCGGAGGGGGACCGGGAGCAAGGAAGAGCGGCGGTGGCGGGGGAGGGGCAAAGCGGTAGGGGAAGAGACGGTAGAAGGGAACCAACTCGTCAAACGTGACGTCCTGGGAAGGGAAGACACGGCGCGAGGTGGGGTGGTAAAACTGCCAGCCAGGCGCGTCAGGGACAAAGCCAAGGAAGACGCAGGGGATAGCACGGGGGGAGAGCTTATCCGCGGACGTATCGCGAACAAAGACACGAGATCCCCAGACCCGGAACACCGACGCATCGCCAACCGTCCCCGTCCAACGCAGTGTGGGCGAGGTCTCCGTCAAGGAGACACGGGGCCAGAGGTTGAGCTGATGCGCAGCGTACCGGACCGCAAACGGCCACAGAAAATGGGGAGCAGCCGCATGGATCATGGAGGTACGAGCGACCTCCATGACTAAACCAATGCGGCGCTCAGCAATCCCATTTTGCTGAGGGGAGTCCGGAAGCGTGAATGACTGGAGAATGCACTCCCCACGAAAAAAGTCCCTCAAGAGGCTGGAGGAGAACTCACCACCTCTGTCAGAGTGCAGACGCAGGACAGGAAGATCCTGGCCGAAACGCTCGCGGAGCTGGAGACGAACTGTGCGGATCCAAGGGATCAAGACATCAACGACCTGACCCTTGCTGCGCAAGGGGAAGACCGTGGTGTACCGCGTGTAGTCGTCAACCACCAACAGAAAGTAGCGCTCGCGGCTCTGTCCACTGACGCGGGCTGGGCCCCACACGTCCATGTGGAGAGTCTGCAGGGGAGCAGTCGTCGGGGGAAACGAGGAGGAGTGAGGAGCGGCGCGCTGCCGCCCCTCGACGAAAGGAAGGCAGGGCGGGGCAGGCGAGGGCAGCAGGGGAGGCAGGGACCTGGGAAGACCAGAGACAAGAAGACGAGAGTGCATGCCACGAAGTCGTGGCAGGGAGGGGTGACCCAGGCGGTGGTGCCACAGAAGAGTCTGGTGCAACAGGAGGCGACACGAGCAAGAGGCGGCTACCTGACCTGAGTAGACGCAGCTACCTGAAGAGGCTCGGTAGCCAGTGTGTACAGACTCAACCCTGGCCGACGAGTGAACGTGGCCAGGTGACGCCCCGTCCGTGTGCATGTGCAGATCGTCACACGCTGACCCCCAGGAGTGGTGGTAGTGACCATCGCATCCTGGAGGGCAGCGGTACTCACCAAGTTCGCAGAGAACGAGGGGAGGTGAAGACCTGACAGTGAGCCGGACGGAACCGCCGGACACGGGAGGACAGTGGAGGAATGGGCCACGACCGGGCCCCCAGAGGGGTCAGCCAGTCGGACCGGGACAGGTAGAGAGAGAGGAGTGAGAGTGGTGCTGTCACGAAAGAAACAGGCAGAGGCGCCTGAGTCCAGCGTGAAAGTGTGCAAGGCCTGAGCAGGTGCAGGGAGAGTACCAGACTCACTAGCACCTAGAGCAGCAGCAGCTATACCTCGGTCAGGCGGCACACACCGGTAACAGTCACCCTCAGCACTAACAGACAAAGCATACATAGCAGAAAGAATAGCATCAAAGTCTAGGTCAAAGATAGCAATCCTAGACCTAAGCAGATCTGCCCAGCGAGGGAGCTCGACGTCGTCACCAAACTCAGCACGCCAAGCGTCGTCAAGGCGGGAGAAGCAGTGGTGCTGAGTGTGAAGCCGCCCGCAAGTCTGACCAGCACGGTCACCCGTGCGAATGACATACGAGCAACTACCCCCAGACGCCCCACGCAGAAACCACTCACGAAGCTGCTGGGGCGACTGGGTCTCGCTCCGACGCTGCTGCTGCTGACGCTGGCTACCTCCAAAACCAACTCGCCGAGCTCCAGTCCCACCGCCACCAGTCCCACTGCCGCCACTGCCGCCACTCCCACCGCTGCCTCCACCACCGCCACCAGAGCCCCCACTCCCTCCACCAGTCCCACCGCCGCCACCACCTCCACTGCTGCCCCCACCACTACTCCCGCTGCCACCTCCACCACCCTTGCCACCCTTGCCTTTGCCGCTGCGGCGCTTCGCACTAGCAGAAGCAGCCCCGACGTCCTTAGCAACAGAGACGTCTGCAGCAGCAGCAGAGGCATAGGAGGGGGCAAGGGGGGAGGGGGAGCACCCCTCAAAGAAGGGGGGGCGCGGAGTGCCACGAGCAGCACCTACAGCAACTGCACTAGTCTCAGCTGCAAGGAGATGCTGCTCGAGGAGGTCAACAGTGAGGGAGGTGGGGTCAAGAGACAGGAAGTGGTCCCTGACAGAGCGAAGAGAGTCAGGGAGGCGAGTGACTATGAAGTAGAGGGTGATGAACATCGGGGGCTGGTTCCTGTCAAGGAACTCAGCAGGGACGGCAGCACGGTAGCGAGCGTCGCTAGCGCGAAGGTGGGAAACCAGGTCCTCGACTGTGGTAAAGGCGGACAGCTCGGGGAACTGGTAGGGCAGAAGCAGGCGGCCTAGAGCAGTAGTGGCCGGGGAGGAGTAGCGAGCGACTACAGCGTCGTACTGTGCCTGTGCGGTCCTGTGCTGTCCGAAGTGAGCGCATTCGGCTAACGGCAGGTGGTTGCGAATGGCTTAGCGGGCAGCAGCGTCGCGAGAAAGCCACAGTGAGCGAGTCGCACTGTCAGCTGTGGTGGGAGGGGCAGTAGCGGCACCGGACACGTGGTCAAACAGGGAAACACCGTCCTTAATATCGCTCAGTAGGTACAGTTGCAGGTCGTCGAGCCACGTGTCAAACTGAACCGGTCTACCCTCATGATCGAATGCGAGAACTCGAAGCGAGGCCATAGTGGCACAGTATGCAGGAGCAGAAGTAGCTGCAGTAGCAGCAGTAGCAGCAGTAGGAGTAGCCGCAGTAGCAGAAGCGACCTGGGGGCCGAGGGGCAAAAACACGAGGAGTGAGGGCCGAGGGGCCAAGGCTAGGGGCTGAGGGGCATGGGGGCCGAGGGGCCTGGGGGCCGAGGTGACTAGGGGCCGAGGGGCCTGGGTCGCGGGTCGTGACTGGCCTAGGGGCGCGACGGTCAGGAACGGGGCCGTGGGGCGCGATGGGCCTAGGTGCGCGACGGGGCCGAGGGGTGCGACGGGTTAGGAAACGTGGCCGTGGGGGGGGCGCGACGGGCCTAGGAAACGGGGCCGAGGGGCGCGACGGGCCTAGGGGCGCGACGAGGCCGAGGGGCGCGATGAGGCCTAGGAACGGGGCCGTGGGGGCGCTACGAGCCTAAGGGGCGCGACGGGCCTAGGGGCGCGACGGGGCCGAGGGGCGCGACGGGCCTAGGAACAGGGCCGTGGGGGGGCGCGACGGGCCTAAGGGGCGCGACGAGCCTAGGGGCGCGACGGGGCCAAGGGGCACGACGGGCTAGGAAACGGGGCCGTGGGGGGCGCGACGGGCCTAGGGGCGCGACAGGGCCAAGGGGCGCGACGGGCCTAGGGGCGCGACAGGGCCAAGGGGCGCGACGGGCTAGGAAAAAGGGCCGTGGGGGCGCGACGGGCCTAGGAAACGGGGCCTAGGGGCGCGACGGGGCCGAGGAGCGCGACGGGGCCGAGAGGCGCGACGGGGCCGAGGGGTACGACAGGCCTAGGGGCGCGACGGGCCAACGGGTCGGTTCCTAGGGGCTACTCGTAGGGCAGCAGGTGGTGGGCCCAAGGAAAGAAAAGCGGTCCTAGCGAGGGACCTGCTCTGAAACCATGTTGAAAGTAAAGAACGAGAATGGATGAACCAGCAAAGAGTTGGGTATAAGTACTAACCCTAATCGGGTTGTACCCCTTATGGGCTACCCCACTATAGCCTACACAAAAGTAAAAGCTATAATGTTCTGACACGTGGCGGATGGTGAGTTGTTGTACGCGAATTCGATGAGTGGCAGTTGTTGCTCCCAGGTGGTCGGGTCGTCGCACGTGGCTCGGATTAACTGTTCCATGGTCTGATTTGTCCGTTCTGTTTGTCCGTCGGTCTCGGGGTGGTACGAAGAACTGAACTGTAGTCTCGTGCCGAACTGCTGCCACAAGTTCCGCCAGAAATCGCTGGTAAATTTCGTATCGCGATCGCTGATGATTGCTACTGGTATCCCGTGTAATCGAACGATGGTTGCGATGAAGAGGCGGGCCGTTTCTTCGGCTGTGATTGATTTTTTAAAGGTTGCGAAATGTGCCATTTTCGTTAGCCGATCGACGACGACCAGGATCGCGTCGTTCCCACTTGCTCCCGCCGGTAACCCCGTGACGAAGTCCATCGTCACCTGCTGCCAAGCACGCTCTGGGGGTGGTATCGGCTGCAACTGTCCTGCCGATCGCTTCCGTGATGATTTCATGACTTGGCAGGTGGGACACGATGCCTCGTGTCGCTGCACGTCGGTCAGCATTTCGGGCCAGTAATAATACCGCTGCAGCTGCTGCCGTGTTTTTTCTACTCCGAAATGTACTGAGGTGACCCCGTCGTGTGCCTCTTGCAACAGTAATTCCCGTAGGAGTGTGTAGCCCGGTACCCAGATGCGATCGGTGCCCGCTTTTACGTAATAGACCCCTCTTGCCGTTGCAAATTGCTGCGAATTTCCGCCTGTAAAAAATGGGTCAGTCTGGTAACCGTGGGTAAATAGGCCTGTCAGCAGGGGGCTGGTCTGGGCGAGTAGTATGGCGTGGAGTTGGGCTGTGGGCCGGGTTAATGCGTCGGCGATGTTCGATGCCCCCTTTTTGTAGGTGACCGTGTAGTGAAAATTCGACTCGAGGTAGTCGAGCCAGCGGATTTGTCGTGGGTTGAGGTGGGGTTGTGGGGACGGGAGGCGACCAGAGGCGCGGTATGTGGGGCACTGGGCGTTGTGGTGGCGACCTGCGGAGTGACCGAGCGACGTGCTGTTTCGGCGGGGGCGGCATCGACCAAGGGAGGCTGCTGCACATCCTTGCGATGGGCCTCCATGCGGTGGAGCATTTCCCTGAGCGCGTTCGCTGCTGCGGGCACCTTAGTGGCGGACGGACCGTCGCGGTTAGCCGCAGCATCCTTCGCGCCGCCCTTGGCGGCAGACGGGCCTGCTGCAGCTGGAGTAGCCACAAGGGCCGGCCCATCGTTGTTGGCGGCTGACGGGCCAACCGGCGCGCTGCTAGCCGCAGGGGGTTTTTGGGGAATCGACGTGGTCCCTGCCACCCCGACAGACGGTCCCTTGACGGTTCTGGCGCCGCCATCTATCGCCGTTTGAGCGGTTGGGATCTCCTTGTCGCTCAAGCCTTTCCCGCCGCTCGCCAGACCATGGGGCTTCTCGGCGACCAGGGGCGAGGCTGTTGGTCCAGCGTCTTGAGCGGCAACCTCGTTGGCATGGCCCCCATCTGCACTCCCGATTCCATCGCCCTTGCCACCTTATCACCTTGGCCCCGTTCTTCTTGAGCTGGTCGACCACGCTCTGACCTCGAGTCCACGAGCCGCCTGGACCCACCGCGCCGACGCCGCGGCTCCCATCGGCTCCCTTGCTCCGCTTCACGCTCCCCGCATCATCTCCGCCGCCCGCCCTTTTCTGGCCCTGCTTGTCGGCCTCCCTTCGTTGCGCGGGATCGGCGTCATTGGCCGACGGCGATGACCCACGCCGACCAGCTGCCACATTGCCGATCACCTCGGTCATGAGCTTTAACCCGGACGCCACAAACGACTGCTGGGTGGCCTCCGTCACCGCCTTCAACATGTCCACCTTGAACGACTTCATGAGCTCATCCATGAAGCCTGGCGTGGGCTGCGGCGGGGGCGGCGGCGGCACGGCGATGGTGCAAGTTACCGCGGCGGCAATGTTGGTCTGCGCGGCAGCTAGGTGCTTCGAGATGTAGTCCTCCAAACCCAGCTTCGCATCGTCCACCACCGCTTCCACGTGGTTGGCCAAGGCGGTGACCGCTTTTGCGCGTTCAACTGCCATCCTTCCCTCCGGACCGTCGATTTCCGCCAACCACGTCGACGCCTGTTCGGTGAAGGACTTCATCGCCTTCCACGATTCATCCATGTGGTTGGTGATGTTGTCCGTGATGGTTGTCGACACGGCTGACGTCGCATCTAGCAGCCGTTTCGCCGCATTATGGTCGGAGACGGCGACCTGGTCGGCCAACGAATGGAGCTTGTTGAGGAGTCCACGTATCCCCAACGAAAACCTGTCCACCCGACCCCTTTCCTCTCCGTGCGCCTTCTCCAGATGGGCATTTTCTGCCGTCAATCGCCTGTTCTCCTGTCGCAGTTGCTCGGCGACGTCCAGCGGTGCCTCTTCTTCCTAGACCGCTCCCCCCTGGCCTTCCCTGCAGTGGTCTCGGTAGGCCCTTCCACGCCCGTCTGCTTCGTGGCCGCGGCGTTATCCCCTTCCCCAACGGCCTCGAGGTCGATAAATTCCTTCGCGTCGCCAACCACATCGCCGACCACGACCTTCTCACTCCCCCCGCGAGCCGCCTCCAAGCCGACTCTCTCCTCGTCTGCGTCCTCCCCTCCCTCGTTCACAACATCCGCCGACCTCCCACCCGTTTCCGCCGCTCCCTCTAAGTACTCCACCTCCATTTCCTCCAACTCCCACTCGACCTCTTCCTCCTGCTTCCCCTCTTGCTGTTTCTCCGCCTCCTCCACCTCCTCCTCCTCCGCTGAGCCCCCCCCTCCTCCTCCTCCTCCTCCTCCTCCTCCTCCTCCTCCTCCTCCTCCTCCTCCTCCTCCTCCTCCTCCTCCTCCTCATCCTCCTCGTCCTCGTCCTCCTCCTCCTCACTATCCTCATGGTCCTCCTCTTCATGATCCTCGTTATCATCCTGATGGACGTCCTCGTCCTGGTGCTTGTCCGCGGTCCCAGTCACCGCCCTTCCTGCCTCCTCATCTTCCTTGTCGACGCCGCCTCCGGGCTCTCCGATCAAAAGTCCCACGCGCATCATCGTCGGTGTGGGCAACACCTACTGCTTGGGATGCCGAAGGGGCCTCCTCGTCGTCGTCGTCACAGGCGTCGGCAGCAACTCCGACATGGCCCGACCGTTTGAGAGCAACGTGCTCCTTGACGAATGTTATCATCCCATTCCGCAGCCCCTTCAACCCTGAAACGTTGACCTTGTCCATGCTGGTCACACTGCGACGGAGGGCGCCGGTCAGGAGATCCATCCTCCTCACCACCCAGCACAACGCGCTCATTGCTAGCAGGCCGGAGCCCGCGTCCCCGTCCTGGACGACGTAGTGCACTTTCTGCATACAACAGTTCAGAGCGCAAGGATGAGCACCGCGTTCGGCAATCGCATCGCGCAAGGCTGACACACTATAGGACGGCAAATCGCTCGGAACTCACATCTCGAACGGGTTGATCGCAGCGGCGAGCCTGTCCTCCACCTATTCATCAGAAGGCTTCGCCCACTCCCACTTCCTACCATCGCGCCCAAGCTCGGCCATGACCGCCGCCCGGAAAAACCTGAAGCAACATGGCACAGATTGTCGGTAAGCATGGTTTACGCTGCGCGGCGAAATTGCATGCGTTGTCGACTACACTATCGAGCTCACTTCAGCAGGCGGATCGCCTCGTCGCGGTGCCACTGCTTCATGGTCTGCGGGTCAACGTGCCGGATTGAGGTCCTGATCTTCTCCCCCCCGGCCTTCAACAAGTCGCCGGGGTACAGGATGACAACGATGCTGCAATGTGCTCCTGGAAGCGGTGCAATGCTGCACAGGCAAGGCACGACGACGTCGTTCAGAACAGAGCACCGACATAGGTTGCAACACACATCATGACGACTTCGAACCAGCTCACCTCGAAGTCAGGGGGATAACCGCTACGTCGACGTCGAAAACCGTCGCAAAGCATGTGTGGTTGTCCTGACCCATCGCAGCCCGAAGCCGGCCGAGTCCTATCGACCACAATCGCATGTTGGCCGGCGCCGCGCGAACCCATGCGTGCCTGCACGCATGCATGGGTATTAGAAGTGAGTGAGGAGGTGCACGACACGACCCTGAACCTAAAGTCGGCGTCACCGAGAAGTGAACTAAACCCTAAACTCGTAGCGCCGCCCTAGACGTGGGACAACCCTAACACCGACGCTGCGTCGACCAGCAAGGTATCCAGAGGTCGACGCCGACATCCCCATACAGAGACTCACTTGAGGCCGAATCCCAAGCAACGGGCGTTGAACTCTAGCCTATGGTCTACGAGGACGGCGTAGTCGTGTTCCTCGAGCTTGGCAGTGAGTCCACTACCCAGGTCGAGATACAGAGGGAAGTCCTGCGAATTCGGCGCCGCTTCGCCGGCTTTCGGGTCGGCCTCCATGGCGAGGAAGGGAAGTGACTACAGGCTAAGGGACGAGAATGTGGGAGTAATGTTGAAAGAGAAAGGAGATGCCAAAAACGAGGAGCGATGCCTCCTTCCACCAAGGAAATGTCAGAATGTTATGTTTTGTCTAGCCTGCAGTGGGGTACTCAATAGTGAGTACAGCCCAATTTAGGGTTTGCTATATGTACTCAACTGCTTGCTAGTGAAACCCTCCTCTTTCTCATTTCTAACTTCCTTTGGTTTCTAACATGGAATCAGAGCAGGTCGACCCTCATGGGTCGATCCTGTGCATGGGCCCACCACTATCTTCCGCTGCTATACTGCCTATCGCGCGCCTCGGGCGCGCACTGTCGTCCTGTCTGCCGCGCGCCCATGGCGCGCGGCCCTTTTTCTTCCCGCCGCGCGCTCGAGTCGCGCGGCAGTTTTCTGACCGTCGTGCGCCCCGGGGCGCACGGCAGTTTCGTCGCCCGGGGGGCTCGTGCGCGGCCCCCCCTCGTCGCCCGTCGCGGCACCAACGGGCGCCGCGACGGGCGACGCGAGGGGCGACTGAAGGGGGGCCGCGCGTCGGCCCCTCCCGTCGTCATCCCGGCCCTGCCCCGTCCCGGACCTGCCCCGGCCCCGACCCTGTCCCGGCCCTGCCCCGGCCCCGTCGCGACCCCGTCCCGGACCTGCCCCAGCCCCGACCCTGTCCCGGCCCTGCCCCGGCCCCGACCCTGTCCCGGCTCTGCCTCGGCCCCGTCGCGGCCCTGCCCAACTGCCGCCCCTGCTGCTGCCCTCCCCTGTGTTGGGGTTTGGGGGTGGCGCGTGTGGGGGTGATGGCGGGTGAGTGGCATCCCCTGCTCCTCCTCCTCCTCCGTCTCCCACTGCTGCAGCTGCCGCTGAGGGGGGTGGGTGTGTGGGAGCCGATGGAGTGGTACTAGGGGGTGGAGTATGAGTAGTGCTAGAGGTGCAACAGGGGGTGTCTGAAAGGGGGGTGAGACAGTTAGAGGATGTTGGGCGGAGGCAGCTGTCGTGTCGCCAGCAGCGCCAGTAGTCCGGAGGCTACAATCTCCGGTAGCCTAGCGAGCCTGCTGCGCCAGTCGCCCGTGGGTCCGTTGCTCCCGCAGCTCAGAGTTAGTCGCGGAGCCAGTTACTCCAGTAGTCCGGAGGCTACAATCTCCGGTAGCCACAGTGCGCGCCGCTCCTGTTGCCCGTGTGTCTGCAGCTTCACGTGTCGTCTCCTATCTCTTCTCCTCTCATAGTCCCTCCTCCTCCTCACTTACCATCTGTGACTGCCTCTAGCTTTGCTTATATTTGTGAACTATAAACTGCTACTTCTTGTACTTGTGCTCAGAATGTGTGGTGACTTTGTGATCCACCCTGAGCTTGTTTTGCTTTGCTTGTTGTGCTGATTACACCCCACTTTGGCTATGGGGGTGTGTCAGAATGTTATGTTTTGTCTAGCCTGCAGTGGGGTACTCAATAGTGAGTACAGCCCAATTTAGGGTTTGCTATATGTACTCAACTGCTTGCTAGTGAAACCCTCCTCTTTCTCATTTCTAACTTCCTTTGGTTTCTAACAGGAAAGGGAGTCGGTGCCCCACAGGCCGATTGACGCATCGCCCAAGGTTCGTGGTGCCTGGCTCGGCAGGGTTTGGCGGGCTGCATGCACAAGTGGCACAAGTGCTCCTTCGCCGCTGAGCCAGCACGTCGACTTCGCGTCCCCTGGCTTCGCTCGGCGAGCGGACGCAATTTCGCATGCGCGCGGTGCGACGTTTTGGCCTGCACGTGTCGATTTCGCAGCGGATCGCGAAAACCCAGCGTCGAGATGCGAGCAATCAAATTTCTCTGGGTTCGAAATTTCGCATGCACCCGATGCGAACCCGCGTGCGAACACGTGGCGTCACCACAACGGGTCGCGAAATTGTCGAGCGTCCCGAGGGGAGCACCCGAATTTCGCATGGCCCTCGCCTGCCCGTCCGGGCAGGTCGCAAGGGTCACTAGGATGTCGCGGGTGTTGGAAACAAATAACTTAAACGCTTCTGAAGTATCGAAGTATCAACACGAAACGAAGCAGACTACAGTGAAACAACACGAGTCAACAAAAGCAACCGCTGGAGGTTACGCGAAGGTCAAAGGTCGCTGACCTTTGACTCGAAAAAATACAGTACGACAGCAAGGACACATAACTAACTCGATACTGAGCAGTTACCCGTGTCGGCATTGTATCGAACCGCAACAGCAAAAACAGTTAAAGTAGAACTTTTCATATTCCTTTGTAATCATATAAAAAGCTTGTATTTCTCTGCTATTATCAACTTATCTTGTTCTCACATACCAGTGCAAGGTGGTTCAAGTACATCTTTATAAAAAACGCTTCCGCAAGTTACATTCCTACTTCAACAACTAGATCTTAGCCTTGAAAGATCCTAAGGGCTTTTTCTCAGCCCAACATGGTATGAGAGCAAACAGGGCAAGATCGATTTCTCAAATACCTACAACAACGCAAGGCATGGCAACACAGAAGGAAAGGAGCTCCTCTAACGGATCTCTCGGCACTACTCCTACTCCACCTCTAGCCTCTGGCCTACAGACAGAGGAAGGCATAGCAACTAGACCAGCTGTGGAGTCAACCGAAACTCCCGGGAATCAAGCAGCGGGCTTCGACCCAAGCATGATGGAGAAGTTCTTCTCCTTCATGTCCTTCTACGAACAACACCAGCAAGCAGCTCCTGCACAATCCAACAACAGCGATAACGACAACAGAGCTACTCCAATGAGCCTTGACGGTTCATTGTATGCGCGCGGAAACCAGCAGCAACCCACATTTGCTGTGTACGAACCTCAACGTGGCTCCATCAGCTTTGCGCCACACCAACAATCTTCACCTGGACAAGAGAAGTCATTGGACGCACTTCAGGTGCAATCGCAATTCGCACATGTTCTAAAACTGCAGACATCAACACCCTTCGACGGAAAAGACTTCTATACCTGGTCATTCGAGTTCGAGCTGATGATGGAGGGCGCGCAAATACTCGGATTCTTTGACGGATCCCTGCCATACCCAGCGCATGGAACACAATACGACAAGCAGCAGTATACATATCAGTCGCTGATGGCGTACACAATTCTTCTTCGAAACATAACGCCAAACGAGCAGCAGAACATTCGGTCTTATCGAGGATACGGCAACTCCGCTGAACTGGCATACGACCATCTGAAGAGCCTGTATCAAGCAACAGACAGTGTTAACCAAAGTCGTCTCATGGCACAGCTGACAATAGTGGAAATGAAACCCGACGAAAAGGGAATGGCATATATCAGCCGTTGTCATGGACTGCGCGACAGACTCCTTCGATGCGGAGGATCAATATCCGAAGAAGCCTTCGTAACGATCATCATCGCTGGCCTCGGTCCTCATTGGCGTGTGAGAATAACAAATGAGAATGAATGAACTATGAAACAGTTGGGTACAAGTACTAACCCTAATTGGGTTGTACCCCTTATGGGCTACCCCACTACAGCCTACACAAATGTATAAGCTATAATGTTCTGACACACCCCCATAGGCAAAGTGGGGGAGAACAAGTGGTCACAAGACCAGTCAAGAAAACCAAAGCAAGCTCAGGGTGGATCACAAAGTCA